CAATCAACTTTAGCAAGTTATCTTTGCCTTTGATCTGGCAATCAACTTCAGCAAGTAAACTTTGCCTTAGAATTGGCAATCAACTTCAGCAAGTAATCTTTGCCTTTGAATTGGCAATCAACTTCAGCAAGTAATCTTTGCCTGTGAATTGGCAATCAACTTCAGCATGTAATCTTTGCCTTTGAATTGGCAATCAACTTCAGCAAGTAATCTTTGCCTTTGAATTGGCAATCAACTTCAGCATGTAATCTTTGCCTTTGAATTGGCAATCAACTTCAGCTTTGTAACTTTAGAACAAAATAGCTTTAACACAGAACACGTTTAGCTCACAAAAAACAACTTCAGCTCACATATAACAACTTCAGCTCACATACAACAACTTCAGCTCACATATAACAACTTCAGCTCACATGTAACAACTTTTATTCATATGATATTTAGGAGATGAAATGTTGGAGTGAATGTGGAATGAACTGAACACACTAAGGAATGAAATGAGATGACAGGGCAGGGTTAATGGGACAGACACACTGGACGAACTGCACAAAAACAGACCAGAAGGAACTTGATGTCTTGGATGGTGTCACGACACTCTTCATTTCTGAAAACAAAATAAGAAGAAAAAATACATTTGTAAATGAAGTATGCATACAGTTAGGGTAACAACTAGTGTGTAACAACCGCAATACAATTCTTCACAAAATTGCCTTTTGTCTTGCACAACATGCAGATTTGTGTAATACTCAAGATTTTAAAAGACACATGATCAACTAGAATCAAAAGACATTTGCCTTTTTCAAGTGACTTAACTACATTACAGTCACACTCTTGGGGGGGGGAGGGCGATGTGGGCTTCAGGAGTATGTACATTTTTGAAAAGGAGGGGAAAGAACTGAAGACAAACCATATATGTATTGTTCAACCATTTTGTACCAGAACATACTCAGGACTCGTGAACATCTGTCTGTGGAGGGCATACACACCCCTCCCCCCACCATAGTTATGTAATTGATGTTATCTTCCACTTGATCACATGCACTCGCATGCAAATATCACATGCAAAACATGTGTCGAACACAAAGGTCAAGCAGGTTGAAAAATGCATACAGCATACACATCTGAATCCGTACGCGATCATGCCACACTTTATACAACATACAGATCTTCAGACTTTTGGCATCATGCTAAAGGAGGTTAGATTGTAAATACTTTATTGTATTTGTAAAGGACTTTTTTATTTTGTTTATAGTCAATCCTTAATTTGTGAAAAATACCATTGCAGTAGTAACACTTTAGTTGTCATCCTATTTCTAAATGTTGAACGTCAATAAGCATAAGGGTCTGACGTCTGACAAATGATGTACCAAAGAATTTAATACACCACTTTGTAAATTGATCATCTAATGCAACACATCATATATGTATAAATTGACCACAGCAACCCACAAAATTAATAATTAACATAGACTGCTTTAACAATACTGCCTACTTTGTAGTCACCTAATACGTACTCTTTGGGGCATTTCAATACAGTTGTATGCCGCTGTAACCATATTGAGTCAACTGAAATGCTACAAAAGACAAGGGCCTACCAAGTAACCACATTCCTCAAAGATAACACAATACGATCAAACCATCTGGAGAAAAGATGTTCAACAAAATCACTTCCATGAAATTTCAATTAATAAATTTTCACTGACTACACCATCCAATTCAAAATAGATCATGTCAGTTCATAGCAAACATGCATGCAACATGTAGGTAGGAAACATAGATCATTATGCAGGAAATGCAAGTCAGTAAGTTCCATCTAAAAGATTGCACTAACAACAGCCATGACAGCCTCAGGTCATATACTCCGAACAATTTAACTTTTATAGCTCCATGCCTACACTAGTACTCCGATTTCTTTTCATTCACTATTTTTTGACCTACAAAACACCACTCAGTGAGTCTGTGAGTTTGTGTATATCTTCCAATAGAAAGATGTTAACACAAAGATCCCATCAATCATATTCATGTCGTGATGACTTCATGCCCCCCCCCCCCCATATCATCCCAGTATAGTTAACAACACGTAAAAAGTGGAGTATTTGAGCCACATTAATGTGGGGGGGGGTACACCCGTCCTGGGCCACGATACACCATGGATACACCTAGACCCGGCCGGTACGTGGCTTGTTGTATACATATCCACGTGATACACCATGCAGCTCTGCATACATTATCCACGTGACCATGGTGACGTGACCATATCGTCATCAGTCGTCAAAAAATCACCAATTATACAATTAGGCCTAACACTTCATCTGAAACGTTTACATACAAAACAGTATTCCCATTAGATAGTGGATATTTTGCAGGAGGTAATGACGGCAAACTAACGTTTACTAAAGGTTTGCCGGCGGCAATCCATATCAACAGAGGGCGCTGTACTCTTTAAGATAGGGCTGAATTATAAGATCATATTGTATCAAATTCCCATCAAAACATGTGTAGCACGTTTGGTGTAGTGGTTAAGCACAAACTCTGGTGAGCGGGATGACTCGGGTTCGATCCCGATCCCCGCCACATTTTTAAGGTTTTTTTTCCCATCCCCAAATAAATAAGAATATTCTTCTTTTATTATTTTAACATGTCTGAAACATTTTATTGCAGAGTATTACATTTTCTTTTTCAGATTTGTGGCTCTGGAGGATTTTTTTAAAAAGGGAAATAAAGTCCGAAATTATAAAATGGTCTGAATCCCATCTTGTGAATACGAGGTCACAACGATAATATTGGCATGGAGCCAGACTAAAATTTGTCACCGGAAAATGTTTAAGTAAAAAAAAAACAGTAACTGCGCATGTTCAGTGCATATCCGGCAAACTAACGTTTACTTAAGGTTTGCCGTCTCCGGCAAAACATCCACTGCCTATTCATTATCCAACAGACATTTACAAATACAAGCTAAACAAAACAATCTGCTAACATCACTGCTATTGTGTGAATGCAAAAAATGTCACCGCCCCATCGCATCCGTTATGCGTTCAAGCATCTAGATCTAGCAAGGAACTACGAGTCAGCTGAAACTCAAAAACCGGCTGTAAAATGAGTTTCGTTCCAGCAACACTGGGTCTACTTTTTTAATGCACATATGTGTGGTTCAGTACATCACAAACACTATGTCAAAAGTTCTCCAGAAAATATGCTGCAGTTTTTATTTTACAATTCATCAAAGTTTGCCATGTACATGTATGTATGCTAAAAACTGACATTTTCCGGTTTGAGGCCTTGCGTTGGCACTTCCAATTTCAAAACTACAGCACTATAGCTTGTCACATCCTACACTCTAGAAACTCCTGGGTCATACTCAGTCTGCTCAGTCCATTTCTGGGTCAAAAATTGACCCCTTTTTGAGTCATAAATGACCCCTTTGGAGTAAAACAGACATGTTTCTCGGTCATTTTGACTGAAATGTGTACTTTTTTGCCCAGAAAAGGACTGAGCAAATTTGGATTCAGATTCTGGGTCAATCTGACCCAGGATATTTTAGAGTTAAAGAATATGTTTTATGTACATTGGCAATTAGGTAACACAGAACACGACCCTTTGTTTTCTCATCTGGTAGACATCACCACAGTCCCTCTTCCAACAATATTTCACTGTAATCCAACTTGTTATTTGACAGCATACAACAATGCAATTATTTTGAAGGTTTATAATGCAGTGGTGGAACCAGCTCATCATTAAAAATGGAGGTGATTTTAGAGTAAATAAATACTGGTACATGTAACCAGCAGGAGAAACAGGAAAGCAGACAAGACATGCCCCTTCAAACAAAGCAAACTAACACGTTAAAAAAAAAAAAAAAAAAAAAGGGGTCCTATGCCCCAAACCCTCTGGATCTGCTGTGGTGAACCAGGTACGTCACTTAAAGAATCTCTACTTGTAAGAAAAACCACCTTTTTGGAATGAAAAAGGCTTTAAATACAATTATAAATCAAAGGACCATCAGAAGTCAGAGTCTGGTTTAATAATTTCAGAAATCAACCATTGTATATTTATTTGCTATCTGATCAAAACAGCCCTGGCCATCTTGGTTTGGAGAGAAGCCTTAAGATCAGTCTTTTGTTAAAGAAAATTTCAGCTATTTATTTAGTGATACATTGATTAGCACCGAAAAATATTTACATGTATATCAATAAAAAGAAAACAAAACCTTAACTCATGCTATTTTGTATGCTTACACAGTAAAGAGAGTGATTTGGCGCGTCATATGTGGCTAGTCTCACTGTTAAAATTCACAGAATTTGCTGTTCTACTGGTACTTATTTTTAATTAATGAAAAGAATAAAAATGAATAAAACCAACACTAATGAACAGAAGGATACATGTACATGTAGTTTTGAAATCTAGAAGTTACTCATTATTTTCATTAAAATGTCAAATGCTAACTAGTCGTGCTGATACAACTTCAAGTAAATGTTATCACTACATCAAAGTTCTCATCAAATCTTGTGCAGTAACGGCATAACAACAGGATGGAGCGTATGTCTTGCTTTCTAAGCCAAAGTTTCAGTTTTGAATCCTCCTCTGAAGTCGCCAGAGATTCAACCACACCTCCAGCAGATAAAGTAGCAGTGTAGATGATGTCGCATATATTCCAGGAAAGAGAGCTGTGGATATTCTCTTCTAAGCCGATATGTCAACTTACCAGTTCTGTAAAAAAAAAAATAGTAAAATATAGACAGGTTTAGTATCTGATGATCAAAAACAAAGATTACTGTGGACATGCTTTAGAAGAAAGAAAACAACTTGTTCAATCTAGAGTTAAATTACTAGAAAGATCATGTGCTCGATCCTTTTGCCTTCCACTGTAAATATGTAAACATTGGTAGCTTTTGAGAACCAACCTTTTCAGCTTCCAAAGCAATATCAAGAAGTTTTCATTTTGAATATTCTATTAAAGTTTATTTTTGTTAGCACTCTGAATAACAATCGAAACGTCTTTAATACCGGTATAAAGATGCAAGGCCAGTTCCTTCGGCTTCTAAATCATTTCATGATTCCAACAGTTCAGCAAGCTGGGACATTCTCATGAAACTTAGTTGTTGATCGGGGTTGAACAGTCAGTCGCAAAACATCTCCCTTTTCCCGACGTTCATCCTTTATATATATAGAATCAAATAGTAAATTCTATAAAAAGCTATTTTGCTATTTTATACAAACGAAAAGACCACCCTCATAGCTCCTCCATAAAAGTATCCTTCAACAATGGAGAAAGAGACTGCACAACATTTCATTATTTTGTGCAGTACCCGTTGTAAGTTGGCAGCTTAATGTTAGACATTTATTTTCAGTGCCAGAGGTACTCGGTTTGAATCATGGAATTAAAAACAAAATAACCTTTTTTACTGGGTTTTTTAAAGAAGATATATTTGTCATTGAAGACATTTTCCTTCATTGACTTTAGAGAATTTCCTTAAAAGGAAAGCAAAGTCCGAGAACCATTCGGTAGACAAGTGACGTACCCAACAGTCGACTGCCGTAGAAAAAAAAAAGGGGTTTTTTATTACCAGGTATCTGTTATCATTTTGAATGGTATCTTTTGCAAGAAAATAAAATTTTCCTATGCATTTTCAGTTGACGCCATCCAAATCAATGCCGTTCTGTGCATTCACGGTGAGTAGTAAGGGGGGCGGGGGTACGGGACCAAAATCGAAAAAATCTGCGGCGAGCCTGGACACGCCGCTCTCGGTTTTGGAAAATTAGGGGAATCCCCCGATCTCCAAAAAAAAAAAAAAAAAAAATCTGACGCCGGGAGAGAGAGAGAAAAAAAAAAAAAAAAAAAAAATATCTGACGTCGGGTGTGGGAGAGAGAGAGGGAGCAACAAAAAAAAAAAAAAAAAAAAAAATCTGACGCCGGGGGAGAGAGAGAGAGAAAAAAAAAAATGTGTGCCAAGTCAGAGCCTGTCGCTCTGGAGTTAAAAAAATAAATCTGTCATCGCTAAAATGAGGTGATGTCACCACCACGTGACCCTGAAAAATATGTGAGTCACCACCACGTGACCTTGAAACGTGTTGAGGCATGATAAAAATTTGGCGTAAACAACGTGACCTTGAAAAATGTGTGAGTCACCACCACGTGACCTTGAAACTCGAGACAAAAAATTAGCTCCTCTACCTGTAAAAAAGGTAGAGGAGCTGTTTTTTAATATAAAAATGGAGAGTAATATGTTTAGACCGACGAGTATTTGAAAAATTAATAAAAAATAATATCGGTTTTTATTAAATAGATGGAATACTTTGGGACGTCACAACTTGGGGATCAGTGCGATCATCATATAATCATCGAGAATGGTTTTTTAATTTGTGAAACGTGCGGTGAAGTAGTCACACGTTATTTTGATTTTTCGGCAGAAAATGCGCAAGAAGATCGTATCATTTGGTCAATTTTAAAAAGAAACAAAAGAAAAACTGTGGAGAAACTGGTTTTGTCTGTGTGCCCAGAGCAAGGCTCAGAAGATGTTCAAGAAACAATCAATCGTTGATGGCTTGAGACACGTATTCTTCAATCGTGTTAAGTTTGGAGTCTGCTAATATTTTAATCTGGTCGTGCTTTTTTAGCTTGGCGAATAATCGCCTAGACGCGATTCTAAGCAGAATATCTACACCAAAAGCGCCTATAAACGTTCCTTCTAGCACCAATCCAACGGGGGTTGATATAACACCCAAGAGAGCGGGAATACCGACAGCCCCCGCTATAGCCCCCAATCCTTCTAATCCTATCTCTACGTAATTAATAGTGTCGATCACTCTCTTTATTTTTTTATAGGTGCGCTCTCGGTGGTCTCTCTCTTTTAAGATTAAAGATCGAATCTCTTCAATCTTTTTAAGTCTGTACACTTTTGTTTCTTCGTTACTATTTAATCGGAGTACATCTCCAGAAATATCGGGGTATAACGCCTTACCATCTACACTCATGTTTTAATATAAAAAGATTTTAAAATTAAAAGATCTCCAACTCTATCATTATACTCACACCCTTGTTGTTGATGATCTGTCCTTTTTCACCTATGATTGAAAATGTCAGTTTGTCGATTATACCGTTTTTAAGTTTCTTGAAATCCTCGACTCTATCAGGCTCGGGTTTGCGCGTACCCACGGGTACGATTTTTAAGATGTCAGACGGACGACCATCAAAAAAGTTTTCACTCGTACTTAATTGCGGGCAGCGAATAAACAAAAATTTAAACGGATTAATGTCGTAAGACCCCGTATATACCACTTTGGGTATCAGTCTTCCTTTGGGTAAATTGAGTAATCGAGAGACTTCTCTGTTTAAGCGCAATTTGAGTTTCACGTCGGTTACCACCAACGTCACCTTTTTAGATTCTCTAAATATTCGAAAACTTACCCCGGGTATAGAGTTTAAAATGAAATCGAACCAATCGACGTCGTACCACCCCGGTGGTATGGTGACCGAACCGGTGACGTCGGGTGGTAACGGCACTAAATGACTCGGAGAAATAAAATCTAAATCATCACCAGACACGATAAGACTCCCACGCATTGTCACCCCAGCTTGTCTAATTTCTCTCGCTCTAGGTTTGCTTATTGTACCTTCGATATATTCTAGCGCTATCCTTCTACCTTCATTGATGTATTTCCATATGTCATATAAGATGTTTGCAAAAAACTTAAGCGTATTGCGTTCTTCATCTGTAGTTGATCTTATTCGCAATTTATCGACTATAGGTGCTTGTTTTATAGAAAGTTGTTTTTTTTCTTCTTTGAGTAATTCTAAAGCAGAGTCTAGTCTCTCTTCTCCATATGCTTCTATAAGATCGTTTATAACTCTATTGAAAGTATTTTCGTCGTTAAAAAAAAAGTCGTAGTTTATCCCAGGTATCAAGGATTCGATAAAATCTCTATCTCTTCTTATTAGTGCGTCGGGGTCTAAATTATACCTATTCACTCCAAAAGCAGGTTCTCTTTCAGCTGATCTCGCGTCTATTTGCGTATACCAATCAATCTCCGTGGCGCTGGAAATATTAAAATATCCGGGGTTAAATATCACCCTTTTTACGCGTACACATTTTTGACCGTTTAAATTATCTACGACGTCTTCTAATTTAAACGTCTGCTCATTTTGAAACAAGTGAAACGAATGCATTTATTTTAAAGTTTTTTTATATTAAAACTGAAACTAAAATAATGGCGGCTTTTATGTTGTTAAAAAAGCAGATACAATCAATAGCTGATCAGGTAGCGAAACAAGTAAATCAAAATGTAGCTAAACGACAAGCTACCACCCCAGCGCATGTACTAGACAGTCCGTATCTCACTGGCGAACTCGAGATTACGGTCAACGCGTCTAACACGTTTTTAACACCGTTTCCCGACTTAATCTCAGACTATAAAATATCTCACCTCAATACCAACGATGCTGTACTTCGTTGGAAAATAGACCCCATGTCTTTTTATCAAAATCAGTTAAACTTTGCGATCTATTGCGCTACAACGGGCTGTGGTGTTGGAATCGATATTTTAAACTCGAACAACCGTTACGTTAAAGCCTTATTTAATTTTCATCTATACTTTACGGTTAGAAGGATATTAAACGACATGGCCATAGCAATCCCGGGGGAAGACTCGTTTGACGCTCTCAGCAACACCTATGATCGTGGAGCATTTACCAACATCTGTCGGACGTTTGCCATCGATCAAAATAAGTCTTTTAAACAGACGAGAGATCAAAAGACTTATGGCTTAGGTCGGCTTTTTCTTTGGAACGAAAAAACAAAATCGTTTTTACTCTTGCCGTTAGACTATGATAAAAACACGACCACACTCGACGATTTTATCAACCCCACGGGTGATAAAAATTGGGGTTTAGACGATCCAAAAAAACACGATGCTTTTTTTAAGCATTGGAAGGGTTATCTCGAACAAGACGACATCGTCAAAATGGCTTGGTTAGATTTTATACCCACCAAGAGTTCGTTTACCTCCGCGGGAATCATAAAGATCAACGAATTGATCAGATCTTACGTGTACGCTTTACTCGGTGCGCAGGCTCAAACAAAAACGAGTGTATTATCACCGGGCACCGGATTAGACGCTCAGAGACAATTTAACGTCATCGTTGAAGATATCATCAATGCAGTAGACGACATGGAAACGAGTATCGATCAATTTCAAGACTCTTTGCAGTATGCCAGAACGCCTTTAAATTTTGTCGTGAAACCGGGGTTGTATTTAATTCCATCGGATATGAACTTGAGGGTTGGAACGCACGACGGCTATAACAACAATCTTCAAATCGCTACCCAGATTATGAACACTGGTTTGGTGCCAGATTTAAACTCACAACCTCAGCCGGACGACTCTTTTGATGACACCGATGACGTCGCGCCACCAACACCAGCACCAGCACCAACACCAGCACCAACACCAACACCAGCACCAACACCAGCACCAGCACCAACACCAACAACACCACCAACACCAGCACCAGCACCAACAGTTTTAACCCAAGAACCCACGAAACAACAAACTCACCAAGACGAAAAATTATCGTTGACGGTAGGAATACTAGCTATCGTTGGCATGGGTATTTTGGCTTACGAGGCAACGCGATAAGTCACACTCTAATCACAACACAAAAAAAAGCCTTACCAACTTTGTGCTGGTAAGGCTTATTTTTTGTTTAAACTTGATAACAACTAGGTACACAATACCGTTGGCGCCAGAGGCGCCTTTACTACCATCGTTTTTGCAGGTACGCAAACACCAAGGCCCCCACACCCAAAAACAAAGCCCACACGTGTTCGGCCAACCACGATACGGACTTACTCAGCGCGTTAAATATCCAACTCAATACGCTGCCTATGATACCCGGCAGAGCACCCAACGCGCTCACTCCGAGTTTTTGAAGAGCAGATGCAAAATTAGAGAGTTGTTTTGAAATCCACTCTTTGATACCACCTTTTGGTGTTGGTGTTGGTGTTGGCGCGGGTGGGGCACCCACACCTCTCACGCTAGCGACGATGCTACTCACTATCGTGCTGATGGCTAAACTCAAAGCGGCTAAAATACTCACTACGGTCACACCTTGTTCTCTAAACAGAGTTCTAATCTTTTCTGCCAGAGTCGTGTCGTCG